CGAGATTACTGTGTGATGGATGTCCTCCCCTGGGGTGGGATGGGTGGGTTAGGACAGCAGGTCCACATTAGCTATTACAGCTGCCAATTAATCAACCTGCTTAAAACAAATAAATGAACTTCAACATCCGGACTCTCGATTATCCAGACTATTTACCGAGGTCCCGATGAGTTCAAATAATCGAGGTTAGACTGTATTGATAAAAACATTTTTTGACAACAATGTGTTGTGACCTAAATTATAAAATGCTGATGTAAATCAGCATCTAAAATGGAGGCAGCACGGCCGAGTTGTCAGTGTGTTGGACTCGCAATCCGCTGCTCCCGGATTTGTGTCCTGCCCTGACCACTTCCTGGATTTGTTTTACAGTAGCTCTGTGTTCAAATCCTCGGCCATGCTTGTAAATAGCCAACTGGTTTGCCTCCAGCCAGTCGGGATTCTTAATGTTATGTTCAATTTGAATTATTTGTTTTGGTTGTTTATTCACGGCCACTAGTTCATCAGTTGAATTACTGTCGTGTTACCCTCCTTAAATAAAGTTATTATTATTATTATTATTATTATTATTATTATTATCATTATGTTTGTTTCAGGCTGCTACAGCTTGTGTGCATGGCTAATTCTATTGTATTTTGAAGCTGCATCAATGGAATAGTGTCAGTACATCTGCTTTGTTTGAAGGGAAGGGTATTCATGGATCTTGAATGTGACTGATGAATATTCATGACAAAAATGGGACCAGAGAAGTGAGTCTGGATAAAAGAAAAATCTGGATAATCTAGGTTCTAGGTACCACAGTCTGAAAATACTACCAGCTTGTCGCTGATGCAGCTGAAAATTGATTGTTAGCCATTAGGATTTTCTTGCTAGTCACCAGACAATAAAGAAGCAATAAAGGTAATAAACTTGTAGTCTTGTCAATTTTGTTTACGCTCTCTGGTTCTATGGAATTAAGTCTTGATTTGTTGTACATGTAGCAACTAAAATCTTGTTTTCTATCAAATGATCTGAATTTTCAAAAGGCAATATTCTCCAGAATACTCTAGAATCAATGATACTATTATTTAAATGCTTCCCACATTAACCCATGCAAATCATTTAACAAATATATTATATTTTGTAGAGGTCTACTATAATTGTAATGTATTTGGAATGTTGTAAGACGTTGTATTTAATAAAAATGTACAACTGAAGCAATGTTGGTTAGCATGATTAATTTTTTTAAGGCATGACATTGCCACAAGAAAATTTTAATCATGACCAACTGATGTTGCTATTTTATGCAAAAACCTTGTTTTGAAACATTTAAATAAAGAGATTAAAATAATGAAGGTTGATCTTAGATCATACCCCTAATCTGATTTTAGCGAAAATCAAGTGTTATCTAATTTTTAGTTTTCAACTCTTCATATCCATTGTCCTTTGCATTCTGCAACTGAACCAGTTGAAAGTGTCTCTACTCTCTCCTCCCTCGCTATTTATAAAACTATTTTACTTCCTGTCACGTGTTGAAAATGCTCTCCAATGAAAGGTAACCACGCTTCCTTGAAACCGGTAGTGGAGAAAAACCTCCAGATGGTTCCTTCCGATGTTGAAGCTGGAAATTCACCGTCCTCTGTATCAAAAATGACTCCGTATGTAACAGACAGAAAGAAATTAATAGTGTGTTTCTTGGGAATATTTATATCGTACTTTTATTATGGTATTATACAAGAAAAAATGTGAGTATTTGTCAAATTATCACGTAAATTATGAAGTCGATTTAGGTCGATAGTTTGATATTTTTCACGTAAGTTTTAAAAGGGCTTGTAACAAAAATTGAGTTTTGTAGTGATGTAAAACCTTTGGACTCCTGACAGAACCAGTTTAGTATTTAATCTCCATAACTTTTCCCAATCGTGATAAATTTTTGGAGCCCCACTTAAGTTAATGACATATATCAGAGTTTATTTCAATGTTCTGTTGACTTCCCTTCCATCAACATGTCTACGTATTCCGTATGGGAACTGCAGTTCTAAGTTACGCAAGGTATTTTTGATGAACTAAGATCTAATAATTATGAGTTTTTTTTTGTTCTGTGATCAAGCCTAATAAATTCCCTGCACTCTGAAGAGAAATTTCGTTGTTTAATGATAAATTTTTGTTCACTAATATGATTCACTTCTTAATTTTATCTGCTATATTTTCTCTCAGAACACGAACATCGTATGGCGAAGACAAGGAGAAATTTGTTTATGCTCTCTCTCTGGTCTTTGTTCAGTGCATTGTGAATGCACTATTTGCTAAAGCAGGTAGGTTGAGAGTGTTGCATGTGGTGAAAGATATATAGTTGTAGTCATTTTTGCCTTGGGAACAAGTGTGTCCTTCGAAGATATTTAAAGCTACGATCTCATCAACCTTTTGACTCCTGTGATCAAATATCAACTCTTCACTTTGTCTGCGACACACTCAGTTCAATGTTAGCCTGTAAAGTTTAATGTTAAATTCAACAGTATCCTCTATATTTTTTTCCTTTGCTTTGCCTTTCCCCTTGAAAATGTATTGATACTCTGAGAAGAAATTCCTATTTGATCACCCCCAGGGTTTAAAGGTTCATGTGATATATATCAACAAAAGAAAGAAGAGGTACGACTTTTTACCACAATTGGCAGTAATGTTGCAATCTGATTGGCTAATTTTCCTTTCTCAAAAAGAGTAAAGACAATGTTGCTTGCATCAAGGTGTCACAATCTTGGTCACATACGGAAAGAATAATTTTATTTTGACATTGATATTGTTGCCTGTGCCTTGAGTCCCCAACAGTTTGACCACTGTATCACAAATATTATTGTGGATAAGAGCGCAGACCACGCTAAACCACTGTTGATTTGTTAATTTTCTCAGTTCAAACATTGATAAGCTCTTTTTGAAAAGTTAAACTCTTGAGTCTTTTTGTTCCCTTTCTCTTTACATCCAGCTCTCTCAATGCAACTTAAGTAGATTTTAATATAATTTGGAGTGTACTCTGTTGATAGTTTAAACATGATTTATTCTTGAAAGGTGAGAGTGCTGTAAGCTTTGCAAGAAAAACAGAAGACAAAATCAGAAACAATTGAGAGAAAGATCACCATTTTTTATCTCAAAGGGGACTCCAGAATTTCCTGACATGGCCAAAATATTCTGGTTAGTTATAGATCCCTCCTCATGAGGTTATCGATCTGACCAGCCAGTTTTCACAAATGGTATGCATCCAAAATGATCAGGAGAGTGGTGGTGAACTAATCATAGTGCTCATGTTCTGTCTTAGTTATCAGACTGACATATAAAAATGAAGCTAAGGATACAACTCCATTCTGCTGGTATGGGATCTGTGCTACCACCTATATTGGGGCAATGCTGGCCAGCAACAAGGCTCTACAGTGGGTGAACTATCCAACCCAGGTTGGTGTACATTCCTGTGACAAACTGTTAAACAGCTCAAAGTTATGGGGGGAGGGGGGGGGGTAATTAAATGATTCTGGGGAAAGCTTTGTGTACCAGAATGGATTTTTTCCTTTTGCCATTTAGATCTACCTTAATTGAAGCCAGACTTTCTATTCCTTTACATCCAGTAACATCAGTATGCATATTCTCAATACTATTCTCTGTACATTTCCTAAGGTGCTGACAAGGAGAATTTGTCAATAATCAAGAGCTTCTTGAGTTCATGATCATTTCCTTTATTCTTGTGACCTTAATGTATGATTCATTTTGTTTTACTGGCAGGTTTTAGGAAAGTCATGTAAACCCATTCCAGGTGAGTGATAACATAAAGTATAGGTATACAGTGGAATCCCGATTTCTCGAACCCTTGGTTTCTTGAACCTCCTGATATCTTGAACCAAACCTTGTTTCTCTTGGATTTGCTTCACTTGTAATTTCACCCCCGATTTCTCGAACTCCCCATTTCTCAAACCAAGTTGCGTTTCCCCCTGGAGGTTTGAGAAATAGAGATTACTCCATGGAAAATGCGCGTGTACGATTTTTATTCACGAGTTGAGTAGTATCAGAAAATGAATGAGTGAGTTTTCTGATACTCCTCAACGAGTGAATAAAATCGTACAAAGCATTTTCCATGGTGTAATTTGTTTATTTTATAGATGTGAGATTTTTGAAAAGAAATATTGGTGGTCAATTTTATCAGTTTGGGTGCACATGTTTAGAAAACCCATTCAACTGCTATTATAAACTAAAATATAAAGTTCTCTTTGTCTTTTGAAATGTTTAGTGAAGATAACAAATCCAAATATGTAGACGTAAATGACAACTTGGAGAAAAAAACTTGACTTAGATTTACAAGTCATAAATGTCGTAAATCAGAATGTCACTAAATCATGAAAACGCGCAGCGTCATACACTTTTACGCTGAATAACACAATGCAAACCTTAACCAATATCAGTCAAAAACAGTCTGCAACTTTCATGAAAATTCAAGGCAAACTTACAGTGTACATAACTTAGTCATCATCGGAGTCGCTGGATACTCTGATTCTCTTCCACTGATGCTTTTTTGTAATCTTGTCCTTCTTTTGTGCAAACGCTTAAAATGAATTCACTCAAAAGTTCATTCAGCGCGGCGGGAGGAATTTCAGCTATTTCACTTCGTGCTTCTCCTTTTGTTTGAAGGAACTCTGTAAACAAAGCCACATCTCGTTTCGTTTTCTTCACTGTGTTCTGGTTTTCTTGTTCTCCAATAAAAGTCTCAATGGAACCTTCCAAAGAAGCAAACCTTGGACTAGCCATGTTGGATTCAAGAGTTGGAGTGAAACTCGCGGGCCACGATTGTTCACTAGTGAATTTTCGTCGTTCGCGTTTGTGATTGGGTAAACGATGTTTTTTCATTAGTGAAAATTCATCATTCGCATTTCCTAATGGCTAATGGATTTAACGTACTAGTTTTACGCGGGCTTTTTGTCGTGTGTAAATCTCAGTATCTATGAAATAAATCGGGATTCCATTGTAGTCATAAATGAGTGACAATTTGATCTGCATGCTGTACATTTCTGTCATGAATAACAAGTTTTCCTGTCACATGTGTACCAATTTTCTTTCTTTAATTTCTTTCAGTGATGATTCTGGGAGTTCTTTTAGCAAGGAAAAAATATCCCCTTTTGAAATACCTTTGTGTTCTACTTATTGTTTGTGGAGTAGCTTTGTTCATGTACAAAGAGGTGAGATAATCTTATCTGTGATCTTAAAATGGGAAAAAGAATCTCTTTCAAAAAGAATGACATCTTCAGTTGATAAAATTGTTTGCTAGTGGGGAAAAACAGAGGGCTTAATGGAAAGAAGTTGTCAGTGACTTGTGTAAACAGCTATATTCTCCCTCTAAATTTTAATGTTTTCCCTTGGGGATTTTTATTCCATGCATGGTTTAATGACCTCCAAAGAGGAGATCATTAAACCTATGATATGACAAGGAGTTTGTATGTAACAATCAAGAACTTCTTAAGCTGGCTATCGTATCCTTTCTTCTTGGGACCTTACTGGTTGATTCAGTGGTGAAGCTGTAAGGAGAAATTTGGTGATAGCCAGTCTTAGTAAGGGGTGAAAGGGTTGGGCCTTGGCTGGCTAAAATATCACACCTTTCTGTTCAACATTGTGTTTGCTACACACAACATGATCAACATGGGGTGTTTAAACACTCCAACATTTACTCAAGGAGTAAAATTCCTTTATCCCTGCTATTTACACATTGGAAGAAAAATACGCAAGAACAGCCAAAGCCGGGGGCTTAAATGGCCTTAGGTCAGCAACAGAGATGTGAAGAATTTACAGAAGTAGAAAAAAGCTTTAACTAAAATAATTACAATACAATTAAACCAAGAAAGAAAATGTCGGTCAGAAAAAAAAAACTTACAATTGAGATACAATACTTGGTGACTAGTTTAAATATTTAAATGACCAATAATAAATTCCTATAAACCACACAAACAAATACAAACAATAATATTTGATCTATATCAAACATGAAAGGCAATTTAAATGCAGTGTTAAGAAAGAGGTCGCTTAAGGATCAAATATGCTTTCTGAACATGTTGTTGGGTGAAAAATGTTTGATCTTTTAGCTCCAAAGGATGGTGAAGGGTAACTTGAAGTTCTTACTAAATTTTCAAACTGATGATTCATCGTAGAATAAGAAACAAGTAGCAAGTGACAGTGGAAGCTGGATTGGATTTGGAGAACTCCTCTTGGTGAGTAGTGTCAAAAATTTAGGGCTCAGGGTAGGGTGGGAAGGGAGTCCAGGTGGAAATGGAGAGTGTGGGATGGGTAGGAAGAAAGAAACAAAAAATATCATCATTCATACTGCTCGCAAGAGAGAATAGGGTCAGAGTCAGGCTGTGTGATTTATTTTTTCAAATACTGCCAGTTTTAGGCTTACGACACAAAAATG